AGAATGCTGAAACTTGGTCTAAGCATCGACGAAGATGCTGGTGAAGCTGATGCTGACATGCCACCATTGGAGGATGCTGATGCAGATGGTAGCAAGATGGAGGAAGTCGACTAAATGTGAAACTAGGGTTCTGGTTGAGTGTCTTTACTTAAATTTTCCCTTAGGTCCAAGACTTGTTACTATCTTAAATGCTTTTGTTTTTGGTTGGTCTGTCTTTTTCTCTTGAACTAAAATTTGACAAATATTTCTTCCTAGAACTCAGCTATTTCATTGTGGACGTCAATGGCAAATTTTCATCTTGGAAGCATGTTCTGTCAAATATAAATTAGACGAAAATTTCATCTTTCTAGAATAACACGCCAAGACTTGTTTAGAATAATCGAAACAAGAGGCATTGACGAAGTTCAGATAATTAGATCCCACATGTAACAAGACAAAGAACAGAAATGCCCAAAATTCTTTTTGTTCCCATATTCTTTCGAGCAGAACTCTCAATCTTTGCTCACGGAGTCTGCAGCTAAGAAGTAAGTTAATACTGAATTAATATAGTGTCTAGTTCACTCATCAAGCCCCCCAGGCTATCAAATTACAAAGTATCCAAAGAATTAAGCAAAAAAGGTACAGGCAAGATGCAGGTTTACAAATATACGTCTCTTTCATCTCCTACTTTCATCCCGGTAAGGTCCTTCACTCTCTTGATCCTTTAAGAACCCAAGGAAAGCAAGAAACCCAAAAAAGAAGAAACCGCCAGACCAATGGCCACCCCCACCCCCTCCACCACCTCCACCATCTCCATCGTTGCGCGGTGGAAATCCTGCCCCACCGTCATCGAGTTCTGGAGATTTTTCCTTTCCTGAAATCCATATAAACAGGTAATGTACCAAAATTTTCACAAAAAGCCGTCTTCTTGTCTAAATGAAATTCAAATTGAGAAGATGAACAATAAAAGTGAACTGATAAATGAAAATAGTGCAAAATGACAATAGAGTTTTTCTCTCCACATCTCTGGAAAGATTTTAGATGACACGGGAACATAAATTAATTGTTGAATGACTGTGAGAGTACACCATATACTGCTTAAACAGCAGACAAACCCGAATCTAATGGAAGCAGATAATTAGTACCTTGAATAGGTGCAACAGTAATGGTTGACGATTGACGGGTGACTGTTTGGGTTTGCTCTGCAGCACAAGTCGCATTCTGTCATTAAAAATAAGATGATCAGAACTGGGGCACTTTTGATCAGCGAAAATTCAGAAGATGAAAATTTCAAAAATGAAAAAATTCTCATATGTTTCAGCATGTATAGGTCATCTTAGGGAGCCTGAAAAGGTGCATATCTTTTCGTGAAGAATGTGCGTAACTATTATAACCAGGCAGTAAGACGTAAGCATACAAATAATTACTGATTTCATAAAGCGAGACTGTAACAATACTTGCTAAAGCACCTAGATGACATAATTTTGTGCCAGAACTCACTTAGCTTAACAAGATTGACACATGTCAATATGTTAATAATAAGAAATAACTAAGCCCACATTTAGAGAATGTTCAGACAAGTCCAGAAGTTATACGTTACTGCTAACTAAATTTCCTTTTTTCCAGTTATGTGTGAATAAGTATCACATTCCATTGTGGAAGACACAGTTTTTTCTGAAGAATTCGCCATGATATACCTAAACCATGCATAATAGTTTTTGATATAGTAAAGAAATGGTTACTTATTCTTAAAACAGGTACTTAATTACTTTTAACTTTGATAAATAACAAAAATTATTTAAAAAATTGATTATTTACTCAAAACCTTTTTAAGATTAGTGGAACTTATTCATCTCAAAAGAAAAAGAATCAATTCAGCCCCTATTTGATTCCTATTATCTAAAAACTCATTTTTACCCAAACTCATTTTCAACCGCACGTTCTCGCAATAAAATATTTTGTACGTAAAACCAAAACTTTTTCCTACTTTTTAGCCACATATTCTACAAAAATTCACTATTGCAAAACTCATTTTCAACTCAAAATGGGGCTCAAACATAGGCTCAATCTTTTCTACTAGTTGAAGGATTACTAAAGCAGCAATGCAATAAGACTGGTCAGCTCTGAGGACAGACAATCCCTCTCAAAGATAATACTAATCAATTGCAAAAGGCAAGTTAAATTTTTGTTACAGAAGTATGAGAAATTACCAGAGCAGCGGAACATGTCATAGAAGCTACCCGTACTCGAAAAGCCTGCATTGTAGTTCTTCTCCTTTCATAGGTATGAAACTGCAAGCGAAGTGGATTCAGCCCAACCGGGCCAGATCCAACATATTTGATTTGTTTCAGACATTGACCTTCCGATCTTACTGTGTCAACAAAACCCAATCTATTTTAAAGTCTGGTACAACAAAATACTAAAACATGTCAAGTATCACCTCCCACAACAACAAGAAGGAAGATGTTTGAAGGAACATCAAAGAGGATAAAACATTAAGCAATGTGCATTCTCAGAGTGCTAATTTCACAATTGTGAACAAAGATACAGAAATTAAATCCCCACATAATCCATGAAATGTGGTCCATAATCAAATGCTCTTCAAAAAATACAGTTGCATAACCAAAGACAAAAATTCTTCAGAGAATGCAGTTGCCCATCTTGTTGCTTTACCAGCAAACCAGGCTCCATGCACTCTTTGTGTGTGTGTGTGTGTGTGTGTGAGTGAGAGAGGGAGAGAGAGAGAGAGCTCTAATGTTATATTGGGAAAGACTTCCAAACAAATTCCATGGTTTATAAAGTTCCTATTAAGTAGTTTTTGGACAAAAAAACACCCCAAAGTGCCTAGAGGCAGTTTTTGGAGACGTTAGCCTGAACTGAGAGAGGCACATGTCTCAAGTTTGCGAGGCATGATCTCAAGACTCATTTACTTTGCTTTAGGTAGGAAATAGCCCATTGCCCCATTAAAACATTAAAAAATAGTGTTTCTCACCCATTTGGGGCATAGTCCACTACCCCACCAACTAAAATAACAGTTTCATTTTACTTTCTTTGTAGATTTTTCTCTTGTTTCCTTGCACATTTTAATTTACTTTATTATGAATTTTGGAGATGGTTATGAGTTATTATGCACTTATTTTGCATTTTAGTAGTTTTTTCCCACATTTTTTTGGTTTACAATGAGGCTTGCATCTCAAAATGCCTTGACATGAATGAATAGCACCTCGGTAATTGATTACCCACCTTTTTGAATATTTTCCATGTCTTTTTCTTCATATGGAGGCTAACAAGAAAACTTAGCAGCCAACTATAAACAGGATAATGTTATTTTTTATTTTTGTGTCAATTGATATCCACCCTTTTGAATGTGTAAAGGCATAACCCCTGCCAAGCAAGTTTGTCTATCCCCACCATCATGGATAGCATTCAATTAATAACTTCAAGTACTGCATTCAAAATTGCCAAATAGTTGCACCAATATCTATATCCAAGAAACCACAAACTGTATGTCTTGCATGGGCTTCCACAGAAAGCTAAATCCTAAACGTCGCATTCATTATGTTCCAAAAATTTTTAGTATCATCTGGCTCAATAAAAATAGCGATACACTGAATCGTCAATCGTGCACATCCTTGTCAACAGAACATGATTACAGAGCTCAAATAAATTGATCTCAAATTAATCAAAATACACATTGCTTATACTCTTCTCGAATACTAATATAATGGACGATTAGAACCCACATACCAATAGTTAATGTTGTAGCTGGAAAAACAGTAGTAATGGCACTTAATGACATCTTGAGCAAATTATTTATTACTCCTGAAAACAGAACACGATTTTGATGATGAGAAAGGTGGAAAAATACTTTATATTACATTTTCAGTCACAAACAAATAGATTGGGAATGATGAAGCTCGAAGTTGGTAAACGGAGGGTAGATGTTGCATATTCCCTAAAAATTTAAGTCATCCAGTAAATCATGCAACAATTATATTTTCTTTTAAATGAAAGTCAGGGAATGTTTCTAATAATAAAAAAAAAATGAAGAAGAAGAAAAAGAGGGAGTGCAAAATCAGCTTCTACACAAAAGTTCAGTAATTTATAGGAGCAATTTTTTAGCTTGGGAAGAGTCGATCTGTGTCTGTTGCACCTAAAAGCTACTTTAAACCAGTCAAACCTGGAATAAAAATCCATAAAACTAGAATTATTTCCTAATTTATCAACCCATAAGCTGTCATTTTTCCATTTTCTTCCAATAAATCAACCTATCCGAGAAATTACGCAGATGAACGTGGTTTAGGTGCTCTTTATCGTACTAGAATGAATAAATTTAGAAAGTAACAACTTAGGTGGTCATATCTTGAGTATGAGCATCTCCAAGAAGCTCTAAAGTAAAAGATGTTCTCTATTTTAGAGAATCAATGCATAAATATAAGCTTTAGGATACTCTAATTTAACAATTTAAAATAGATGGTGGGTTTGGCTCTCCCCACTCTATACATACTTTATAATGATTTCATTTAATATATCACAGATTTTAATATTCTACTTCTTAAATTATTCAAACCAGAATTGACTGGTCATTGCCATCTAAAAATATACGTTAAGTAAAAATATGAGAAAAAACAATAAACATTTATTGAAAAAGCTAAAATAGAGAGTATTGTTGGAGTTTATAAACTTTTGTATTCTCTAAATTAAAAAATGCTCAAATGTCTACTAGTTAGATGAGTAGAGGTAGGAGAAATAAACATATGGTAATTTGATTAAATTGGTAAAAGCATGAGATTTTTCATTTTCCTAACTCAAAGTCTTCACAATAATTATGGAACAAACACTATTAAGTTTTGCCAACCATCTCCGGGGCTGAGCCACCTGTGGTTTAGTGGGCGCAACTGCCCCACTGGATTTTGGTCCTGGCTATTTCACCTAGGGCAGCCAGTTTTCAAGGCAAGGAAAAAACCATAAACAAACTCATCAAGAATTCAATAGAAATGTTGTCGAAATAATCACTGTTGCTAGAGGAAGATTACGAACAACAATTTCGGAAAAATAAATAAATATAAGGAGTTGAGTGGAAATTAATCATTCACAACAATCAGATAAAGTGCAATTTCAACATATAAAACCTCTTTTTACAATGACAAAATCCGATACTACCTTCTAAGTTTGACGATAAAGAAGTTGAGTAGAAATCACTGCATCACGAGATATATTTGTGCCAAGGTGATGAATATGTCTCCCTTTTTGCCTCTCTTTCATACTAATTGTTCCCAATTTTTTAGTATAAAACCGAGGAAGAAAACCTTAGCCGCTCGTTCCCCTCTTGATACTTGCAGGAATGGAGAGTTAAGCACTTAATTGTTTGAATGGTCACTAACTTATGCTTGTTTCTCATATTGCTCAATGAAGTTTTAAGACGTTGAGATTCGATCATCAA